GGCAACAGCCTCGAACCCGTGAATCACTTCAAGACTTCAAGACTTCAAGACCTGATCTGATCTGACAAGAATTGCGCCACACCGACTACGTTGCCAGCTGGCAGCTGTTGGCGTGTTGCCCGCTCGTCCTGTAACATTACTTAACCTGGCTTTTATCTGTGCAAAGCCTTATGACTTGCGCGTGAATCGGGAAGTCATTTCATCTTCGACCGTGGATGGTCGTTTAAAAGACACTGAAAATTTCTACAATTAATTTATGAACCAGCCAAAATTGCCATCCAGTTCACAACACAAACCAAGATTTTCGAGTTCTTGATGGGATACGCCCAAATGAAAGATTAAAATGTACTTTAGCGGCCATTTTAGATTTATAGTTGGGAACTAAAGAGCTGACTTGTGGTTGGGCTGTGGTGACAATATAATTTCTCGCAACCGTCACGTTTCCTATTAGCAACAGGAGACTCCGCTGGTACTCAATGTGTCTTTGGAATATTCTTCGTGGAGATCTTACACTGGAACTACGTGCTGTGTTTCCACAACTGGACTGCAACCGGACGCGTGGACGCAAGCTCAGGTGGTGCAAGGGTAGAACGGGATGTGATTTAAACGACGTTTCAACGAACATTCGGTGAGATTGTATCGAATTGCGGACATTTTGGCCGGTTGCTGTCGGCGCCGGTGGTGGAGAGGCTTATACGGGGTTCGGCCTCCCTGCTTTCTGCACAAGAAGAGGAAAATAAAACTGATTATAACTGAAGTTACACAAAAGGTAAGGATAGAATGAGGGAGGGCTGTAAAAATATGACTGTGTACGAGGCAGGATGTTTTCCTATGAGTAAGGGAACCGTAGACGGGAAAAGTAAGATTCGAGAAAATCATCATTGTATCCGTTTTGGGCCGTTGTACTACTCTGTCGCCTGATCCAGAGTACGCTTTGTACGAGGGTGTCATTTGGCCTTTGCATAACCATGCGTAGACTGCAAGTCAGTAGCGATATTCCAGATGTGCCGTTGGCCATTTTTTATTCGCCTCCTCAGTTTCAGTTTTAATAACCAACAGCCATTCATTCTCATGCGTTGGTTTTGATTACCCATTTGGATAAAAGGTCAGAGTGACGATGGAAAAGTTGAGAGCCCAGCTTATTCCCGGTTAACCGCGAGGTGACGGCCGTTCGATCCGTGACCTGCGGACGCGCTAAGTAGCATACCGCTCTGCTTTCTTGCGCAGATTGGAAGTCGATCGCCGTTNCGCCGTTATCTGTTTGCTAGCAGAGCAGAGCACAGAAACCGCTCAGTCGAAAAAGTTCGGTGAGTTTGTCACAGAACTCATCTTCTCGTGCGTCAGAACTGCAGTTGGTCGGTGTATACACTGAAATAATGAACAAGCACCTTTTGGTGTTGCTTTCCTTTCGGACGCTGATAGACCCTCGGAGCCGCATCGCACATAAGCGACTGTTGCCGGGGATTCAGTCGAAAAATGACGCTCTGGATGTATTATTGAGTACAATGCCTGTGTCACTCTGGCCTAATAAATGGGCTTCGTCGTCACCCGATGTGCGGAGGTAGTAAGTCGAGGACAAATCTGGTGCACTTAAGCGGCTTATAGTATTATGATTCTTGGTGCGCAGCAACAGGCGTAAATCCCCAAAGAGTCCATTGTACGCACCAGACACGCTTGTTGACCCACATGCTTCTGAGTCTTTACGTTGAATGTCTCCAGATTGAAAGGTTGACAAGGCTTCAAATCTGTAATCTATTTCTTATCGAACTACGTACTTTGCCACTTGGCAGCGAACTTCGGTGAGTGATGAACATGTCTGAGGGAATGTTACGGGTAGTAAAAAAGAGGTAAAGGAGGAAGTTTGGATACGGAAGACAAAGAGTTAAAAAAAGGTTGGGATGTCTGAGCATTATCCCACTTATCACTACCCACCCCAATCAATGCCATGGGCAGCGCGGTCCTGATTATCCTGCGCGACGACCGATGCATGAGGAAATGTATATGTGCATTAGAGTTTGGTGGACGGATACTGCCGGGGTGTTCGGACATAATTTCAGACATTCGGTACGTGCAATGTAAGTCTAGACATAGTGACATTTTCACACACGTCGGAATTCAAACTCTGTGCCAAACAAATCACGGTATCACAATCTTGAGAAAAAGAATTTCATAGTTCGCTTGTGAGTTGAATACTACCGGGTTGTAAAGGCCGAAACGGGAAATCACAACCGAAGCCTACGGTTAACCAAAGTCTGTACCGCAAGGCTGCGGGGTGGTGTATAAAAACCGGGGCCGGTATCCAGTTCATCGGATCATACTCTCTCTTTACAGGGTCAAACGTCCAAATTGTCCAATACACCTTGATACCCAATAGAGCCGGTGACCGCTGCCATAATCACGGCGTGGGTGAGTATGGTTTGTTTGCCTCTTCTTGGTTGGTTTGGAATCAGGGTTTATAGTCAACTCCTCTAAGTGAAGTGCTCGGTTATAACCCCGGATATTGGCTTTTTATCTTCTCTTTTGCCCACCCCATTTGACCGTGTTCTGTTCAGTTCGAACAACCATTAACCATGCACTTTCCTACACCGGTTCTGGTTGCTTTCTTTTGGTTGTCCGTTGTTATGAAGCAGTAGGGAAAGACAGGAAAGTTGAAAGTAGAGTCGAGTAGAAAATGGAGAATTTCTGTTGACTAATTTTGCAAAGAAATTGAGAAGATGCATTCCACCGGATAAGAAGTCCTAAATAAACTTCTGAATATGCTTCGATAGTGTTTTCATTTATGTTCTTTGTTGTTATAAATGACATGTCATTTCCCCTCCAATATAAAACTAGACATTCTTGACTGGTTGGCCAAAGATATCAAACACATCCGCCACTCAAAAACGGATGCCTGCACAAGTTATTACAATGTGATACAATAATAACGGCAAGCTCGAAATGTGCTATATAAAAATTGTTTGATGCTTTCTTCTGAGTTTGGGTCTAGGTTGGACCAAGGGAACAGAAACTTATAGCTAAAATCCTCTCTTGCGTGTGCGAGTTTTGAAGGTTATGAAGAAATCACTAGCCGTACTAATTACAGCTGCTCCGGGGAAACCAGAGCGGGAAGACATTTATGGAACTATTTTGAAAAAATAATCCGTACTCCGGACAGTGTGTGCACACCTTGTATTCACGCTGCGCATTGGAATAAACTAGCAGCGATCAGTGAAGTTTGCTTCACTGTATTTCGCCGTACGATGGTGATGATGATGAATAAATATAAATAAGGCACAGACATTTCAATAACTAACAGATACTCAGTCTCATGAACTGCATTTTCCAGCCAGCTCATTTTTCAACTGACCGGCGGTTGGCTGTAAAACTCCGTCGATTTCCCAAAACATGACAGCACACACATACAGGGGAACAAAGTTACCTGTTGAGAACTTTCAAACAGTGTTACTACTGTTTCAATTCCAAGTTTTCGATTTACGGGGTTGGGAAAACTATAATTCATTCTGCACTGTGAACATCAACAGTTCCACGATAGTGGAATGTTTACCACACCAATTCCCATCTTGTTTCAACAGTGGACTTAACATGTTTCTGATCTGAAGACCTTGGACTGTTGATCCTTGCGCTTTCATCAAGGAAAAGCTGATCCGAATCTGATCAAAACTGTTTGCCGAACTGTGTTTTGTTATAGATACTGGGAATTTCATTCGGTAATCTGGATGAACATTCGACGCCGATTCAAAACGTTATTTCTCCTAATTGCGTCGAGTGTTGTAGGCTGAATAATCGTGTTAGGGGACACTTTGAAACCAGAGGGTAATTAATAACGAAAAGTAGATCAAGACGTAGGCAAATGGAAAAAGTTCGTATTTGTTTTGTATTTGATTTCCATGTTGTGGTCCATTGCACTGTTCAGACACTCAAGCCCTCATAAGGCAATTTTTGCAGACCCCGTGCATCCACTTCACATTTATCAGTGTAATTGACCACTAAAACCTGACGAAACTTATCTTATTGTATAGCGAAAACTCACTGTCACTTTTCAAAGCCACATATGGATTCAAGACAGGAAGGCTAACTTGTATCCGAGAACATTCGCAGATTCTCCCATCTCGTGCGGGTCATTGGCAGTAAACAAACACGGGGTATTTCACCTTTGGTTTCCAATGTAGGGTTAGGTGTTCATCCTCCTGATGCTGTAGAATCTGCCTCGTTTATGAAAATACACATTCTTTTCCAGCTCTTATGATGTAATGAACGAAGCTCATTCAGCTTCGGATGTTCTGTTCAATGCAGTTACATCCTTAATAAATTCCGATGATGTGCAACAAATAATCGTTGATCAAGAAATGATGCTTAACAAGTTTGAGAAGACCAATGAAATGCTACGTACTGTTTCCGAGCTTTCTGTTCATCGATATAAAATTTTATCTGCGGAGTTACTTGCTCATTCTCAAAAACTAACAATCATTCGCAAGGATTTGAATGGCATTTTCAAACGAATTCGCACCTTACGCGCTCAACTAGATTCAAAGTTTCCTCTCGAAATGCAACAAGTGTCTGAGCATCTGACATTCCCCGAAGACAGTGATGAAGAAGGCACAACTGGTATGCCAATGGATGTCAATGCGGGGTCACTTGTCGGTACAAATGCGAAGATGGCAACTTTGCGCGAAGAAGCCCCGATTGAGTAGCCCATTTTTATATTTCTTTGTTTTCAAATAAATAACTTTTTCCCACCAACACAATAGTTTTGCCTGTTTGCATCCCCGTAGAAGACAGTATAATTTGAAGCATGATATCGATTTGTCGTACTCACCGTTTGTGCAATATCATGGGAAAGCAACCTTTTCAATGACCCTAAGCCCGGAATACCATACTTTTAAAACACAAGCCCACATGCAACTCATGGAACGTTTTTCTCTTTCATGACGCTTATTGTACCATGACTTGCTTGGCACATA